GAAGATGAACAGATTTTTTCTGTTAGGAGTCCATACGTTACTCAAAATCAGAGAGCACTGCTTTATCCCACAGCATTAGTATTGTTCAGTATTAGCTAGAACCCACTAAACTTTTCTTCCATCTCCATCTCTTTTTTAAGGAAATACAGACTTAGTAAAGCAACATTTGGGACTATGCTGGGCTGGACACACATGTACTGTAATCACTTCTGTGTTCTGTCTTTACCTCTTCAGATATCAGATAACAACGGGTGTGAAAACAACAGTGGACCCTGTAAGATTTCCAGAGTCCCATGCACTGTTTTCTAGGGCAGGGAACGGGCTGATCTCTTACGGGCTCTCCCGTCATCTAAGAGCTCTAGTTCTTTTGTCCGTACAAGGCGGTTACTGGATGACCGGGAAATTGCTCACGGCCTGCAATTGACTGGAAGCAGAGGGCTAACCAGGCAGGATCAGAAGCAAAAGCAGGGGCGCCTGGGTGGCGCAGTCGGTTAAGCGTCCGACTTCAGCCAGGTCACGATCTCACGGTCCGTGAGTTCGAGCCCCGCGTCAGGCTCTGGGCTGATGGCTCGGAGCCTGGAGCCTGTTTCCGATTCTGTGTCTCCCTCTCTCTCTGCCCCTCCCCCGTTCATGCTCTGTCTCTCTCTGTCCCAAAAATAAATAAACGTTGAAAAAAAAAAAAACAGAAGCAAAAGCAACGAGAATCCCGACTCCCTCCTTCACCAGCGATGATCACGTGTGTCTGACCTTCAATTCCGTCTATATAATGGGGATGACGGTGTGCCCACATCACAGGACTGGCTCAGGTGAGTTACTGCACTATAAAAGGAAGGTGCTTTGTAAACACCAGAGCACCAAACGAGAAACCCCACTAACCAGACTGCTTCAGCCAGAGGACTCTGCTCACCGTGCTCTGGTCGTGTGCACACCCGAGCAGCGTCCGCACAGCCTCTCACTCCAGCTCATTGTGTCCTCAGCATCCTCCCACATCTCCCCTTTCCATAGCACCGGGACACCTTTCCTAGCATTCCAAGCACTGTGAAGAAACAATCCTTCTCTCTCCCACACATCACACACCAGCAACTTTCTATGGAATAGACGTCAGTTTAAAAATTTATTACAGGTGGTGGGGCCGGTGGGGGGGGGGATGAATAGGTGAAACACAGAGGAATTTTAGGGCAGTGAAGCTATTCTGTGTGTTACTTAGTAGTATGGTCAACACACCCCGTTATATATTTGTCTATTCCCATGGGACGTCAAAGAGTGAACCCTTGTGTAACTATAAAGTCATGAGTGATAATGATGTGTCAATGTAGGTTGTAGGCCGTCATTTTAACAAATGTACCCTCTGGGTGGGTGGGGGGTGATAGGAGGGAGGCTATGCATGTGTGGGGCTTGGCAGGGGGCAGTATACAGGAAATTTCTGTACCTTCTGACCAGGTTTGCCATGAACCTAAAACTGCTCTAAAAAGTAAAATCCATTAAAAAATTGATTTCACACACACACACACACACACACACACCCCCCTACGACTGAGATGGGCTCTGACAAATATGAAAATTTAAGAAATCTAACTCTTTATTTAACATCAAAGCTAACATCAAGTGTTTATTTAAAAAAATAATGGCACCTGCTTTGAATAGGGTGACAATCTACGCAGAATTTACAATTTTAGGCTGACATGAAACTATATGGTATCTCACCAAATGGAAATTCTAGAAAAGACCTCACAATAAACATTCTAGTTTCCATTTTCAGAACTGCTAACTACGGCCTAAACATATCTTAAACACAGAGCACGTTTTGTTGAAACATTTCTCTTAGGACAAACACAGGAGACATGTTTTAAATAAATTAAAATTGCAACACATAAATTATTCCTAAAACAATCAAGGTACATTACTTTCCAGCTTCTTATAAACAGAGAATTGTACTGACTTTAGAAAATTATAGGTTAGTTCTGCTTTTTATCTTCTGGGTTACCAAACTCTTGTTAACTGTACCTTCTTTTAGCTTCATAACCATTTTTGATGTAAATGGCCAATATTATTCTTTTCAGTGATTTATCCTTTTAGACCAACTCCTTCCTTAGCACGTGTGTTAAACTTCTTGAAACATTTCTCTCCAGCTAAAGCCCTGAATCTTAAATGCCATTTCACCCTACTCCTGGCTCACTCCTCAAAATTATAGAAATATGCAGTAGAGGTTGTTTAATCACACATGCTCATTTTAATAAGCATACCGAAATGCTTTTCCAAACCAATACAATCATACTTAGATTCCATACAAAGATGTTCCTATTTGATGCAAAACAATTTGGTATTTAAACTTCAATCCAAAAGGACAAAAATAATTAGTTGCTTGAGGGACTCCAATTCCCATCACAGTTATTGATCCCATAATTAAACCTGATATGCTGGAGAAAAGGCAGGGCAGTAAACATACCTAGCAGGGCAGTATTCCAATAAAAACAAGAGTGACAAAGTAGAAGGGCTAACTCCCACGGATGCTAATTGATGGAGAGGGATAACCGCGTTTGGGCCGTAATGGAAGCGGAGATCTCAGTCTGTCAACAGTTCATACTCATCACGTAAGCAAAACCACATGCTAGAAACCGGGGGCTGATCCTACTCTCTGTACAAAATCAGCAGTGGAGTACTTTTATTTACTGCTTCACTGTGGTTTGAATTGGGGGGGGGGTGGTTTCAATGTTTTGTTCTGGCTTGATCATACTCAAAATGTAAACTGGGATAACTGATTCCAATACCCACATAAGAGGATTTTTACATTTTTGTTTTGCCCTCAGTGAACTATCATTATCTTGGTGATCATGAAAATAGTATGTCACAAAAAAATCCTGTGCTAGAATGCAATATCCAGTATCTTTTTTTAATTTTCATGTTTATTATTGAGAGAGAGAGAAGAAAAACAAGCACGAGTGGGGGAGGGGCAGAGAGAGAGAGAGGGAGACACGGATTCCTAAGCAGAGATGTCAGCACAGAGCCCGATGCAGGGCCTGAACTCGTGAACTGCAAGATCATGACCTGAACTGAAGTCGGCACTTAACCAACTGAGCCACCCCCCAGATGCCCCTGCAACGTCCAGTATCTTAAAGCACTCAGTTTGCTGAGTGAGCAGGTGCCTGACCACCCCATGACTGGCTTCATCTTTACTACGAATGAAAGGTGGGGAAAGGGATTAGCGGACTTAAATGTAAATTAAATAACCAATTCCATGATATATCCCAGTTGGATCACTATTTTTAATTGAATAATGTATAAAATTTTACTTAATCTTACCCTTGTGCGGGAAAGGAAATACAATGGGAGGGTTTATTCCTTAAGAGAGCAGTAAACCACAGAGGGTAAAGGTCTCCTTGGAGTGTATCAACTTATTAAAAAGCTTCATGAACTTTCAACAAGACTCTAAAATAAGCATGCCATGTAGGTTGAGCATACCCAAGTGAAAACAAAGTTATCTGACGTCTAACGAGAACTGGTGGACGTACAGATTCTGTGCAAAAGAAGGCATGATCAAATGGGATGGTTTAGACCCAAGATTTCAGAGCAGAGCCAGTTTCTAGCCGCTTCTGTTAACAGCTCCAGACTGGAGGGGGCGGAGTGTGTGGCTTTCCATTTCCTCCCCTACTTCTGCAGCGGAGAGGAGACACGCGGATGCAGGCCTGGGAAGCGTCAAAGCGAATGTCGAGTGGAGCGTGGTGGCCAGTGAAGCAGGCCCACGTCCTGGGTCCTCCCCTGCAACCCTTAACCTCAAAGGGCTAGAAATCTCTCTCCCTCTCTCTAAAAAATAACAGCAGTATCTACATCCGCCGCAACCTCTGGCATACGCAAAGTGCCTCAGAAAGATGCGCAGAAATTGAGAGGCGCCCACCAGGACCCAGGGGTGGAAGCTGCATCCAGCCCTCAGCCGAATGGAGACTGACGCCCACGGGTGAAGGAGAATGCTGGCCATTAAAATACAGAAGCGAAAGAAAGCACACCGTTCTTTCTCCCTCCCATCCCTGGATCTGGAACTCTTTTCCGTCCCCTGGGTTTGACGGATCACAGTGTATTTACAGCCAACTTGGCAGAACAAGGGCGAGTCTGATGGTGGAAGGGGACACGGCCATGAGTTGGGGGTAGGGCTGCTGACTCCGTCTTCCCTGAATCCAAGATGCTTAACAGCCAAAGATTTCACGAAATGATCGTTACTGTTTTTAAGAAGCTTGAGTCCAGAATTAGATAGTGGGGACAGTTGAAGAAGTTTGTGAATTTACTAAAACCACTGAACTGTCAAGTTAAAAGAAGAAAGCTTGAGTTGTCTAAGTCTCACACACGCTGGACTTGTACCAAATGCTCGACTGTTCCACTCTCTCAAACCATGGCGCACTGTCACATTTTTTTTTTTTTCAGGAGATTTCCCCAAGAGCAGCTGTTCGCAAAATATTGCACTTAATTTAAATCCAGGCGATTTGATGTTTTCTGGAAGAAAATGTACACTAACATACATCTTTACGCCTTCAGAGAACAGAGCGGATGGCAGGAGGCAGGACTGAACAGCCGTTTCCATTAAAATCTTCTAACTTCATTTTCAGTAGGTACAGAGACAAAGAGATTTAAAGGGGAGTATCATCTGGGCTGAAAGTAGTGAGTAGAATCCCTCAAACAGGTTGAGGATGTTAACTTCTGAATGCTTTCACCTCAGGGGAAGAAGTGCGGCCCCTCTATTACCTGGGCCCTTGTCTCCAGGAAGATCCCGAGAGGTGACAGACAGCCTTCGCTTGGACACTGGATCAATCTATGTGATTCCGGCTGGTCTCACAGGGTCATAAGAGGACCTTCTCAGTCTCCATCCAGGTCGACTGCTCCCCCTGATCCAACTGCCACCCCATTAGACCACACATCCTATTTCCCTCCTGCTTCCAGAGCGCCTACCTCAGTGCACTTTCGCTTTATAAAAGTACAATTCTGTTGTCTTAAAGAAAAACAAAAACCCCACGACACGAGCATCATTTGTTTTCATTTGTGGAGTGAGATTTGCGACCCCTCGCAAGCCAGGGAATAGAGTGAATCACATCCTCACAGGGGGTCTATCACAATTAAGATGTGCTGGAATACAAACCTCCAGAGTAGTGCTTACTGGACCCTAATGTTCAAGCCATGGCTTGACGTGGGATTTGGAAGAATTTCTACATGCTTGAAGGCAAGATATTCAACGGCCACTTCAGATAAAATCAACGTGTGGCTCCCTGGATGTTAGAAGGTGAAAGCCCCACTCATAAATCTTCGCATCTTACCATTTAAAGTGCAAGACAAAACATCTAAGTCAGACGTCTGATGGATCAACAGGCGTAAGATTTCCGTGTTACTTGTGAGTCACGCACGACTGACCGCTATGGACACTGGGAACAGGTGGGGCCTAGGGTCCTCTGGACAAGTGGACTGGATGACACAGGATTTTCTGTACTTTCAAAGGCCACGAGGGTTCACCGTGGCCAATGCGTGTACTTCCCCTCCCCAAGTGCTGCTACATCCTTGCTGCTAACAGGACTCAGGGAAAAAATGCAACCACAAGCAACAGTGAAGCTCGACTGTGATAGAGACTTAAGAGAGAGACAGAGACTTAAAATCCCTTTTCTTCTGGATCATTAATTATGTCAAATGCTCAATAACCAGAGGCTGGCCATGCTGGGCTAGTCAGGTGGGCAGAAGATCTGGTGTGATTAAGGCAGTGAGCGACGTGGGGAGAGCTCTGAAACGGATTCACATTCGCTAAGGATGGGGACTGAGCCGGCAAGTACTACCGTGTGAAGGGAACTGTAGTTATTTACAATGCACAGCCCAGGCCTGGTCACCTCTAGTCAGCACAACCCCGTTCATTTGAAAATTTGGTAGGATGCACAGTTTTCTTTAAAACATCAATCTGAAAGAACCTGAAGACAGGAGGAACCCGCGGCTTCATCTGGGTATTATGATCCTTTCTATGGCACACAGAATATGGTCCCAGTTTTTACAAAATATCGCAAGAAGAGTCACGGCGAAGAAAGTGCCGAGAATGTGGAAGCGGCTCTTCATCATGGGCGAGACAAACTTGGCAATGGTAGACACGCACACTAGGATGACAGTCATGAAGGCCAGGATCACGTTTATGCACCTCCCCAGGAGCACTTTGGCATTCACGGTGTCTGTCTGCAGGACTTGCTGCTCTTGCTGGTGGAGCTCCAGCTTAGAAATGCGAGTCTGGCAGGATTCCAAGGCTTCCTGTGGGCAAGAGGGAGAGCAAGGGTCACACGCCGTCGGGACCATGGGCAACACGTGAGCACATGCTTGGACGTGCACGGAAGCTCCCTGGCTCAGGACACTCGATGCTGAGGCAGCTTCCAACAGCCAAGCTGACAGTGATGATGATGATGACAAAGAAGGGAAACGAGAATCCCAAGGCTCATTTATTCTGTTATTCACGGACAGAACGAACAACCATAAAATTCCATAAACGGGGACTTACGGTTAAGTATGTTGAAATAAAGCACATAAACTAGTGGCATCCGTTGGTATCATCAGGACCAAACCAGAGGAGGGGTAGGCCATTGTGGGACAGGCGACTACCCCCAGCCATGGAGTAGGTGGTACCTGTTTCCACTGCTCAGTGGATGTATGCATCCACTTATATAGACTGTGGAGGATGAAGGGAGAAGGGATGGGGACAGGACTGACCACGGGCGACTCGGCTCTCACTTGCTCTCTGAATGCTGTTACTCAGGACACTATCCACTGCTGCACATCCTTCCCAGAGCTCGTTCTTTCTAAGGCTTCAATCGCTAAGACGCAGAGGACCCCAAGTGTCTCTCTGGCCAAGTCACCTCCTCTGAGTTTGACTCATGTATCTACATGGCTCCTTGACATCCCCCTCTGAGCTTCTCAGAAGCACCTGGGATGCAACATGTCCAAGTGCGGATTCACATACCGCACCCTCTCCTGCACCTGCCATCGGTCCTGTTTCCCTTCTGGTGCTCCTTTCCTCGGAAAACAGCACCTGGCTCAGCCGGTTCCTCCCACCAGACACTCATTTCCGCTAATCCGTCCCCAGCCGTGTCGATGCGACCTACAGCATCTATCTTTAGGGGCTCATTTCTCTCCCCTCCCAGTCTCCACCCCCCAGTCCCACTCACCATGCTCTGGCCATGCTGGCTTTTTAAAGTTTGGAAAAGGAGCACGTTCGGGGCCTTTGTACATGCATATACTGAGCCTGAAACGTTTGGTTCCCCACTCCCTCCCCTCCTCACCGGTGGATCTCCCTCCCCTCTCAGGTCCCACCTGGGAAGCCGTCCCAGCCCCATCGGACGATGTGAAGTTTCCCCCAGCCCTCTCCCCCAACCAGAAGACCACAGCTGCACAAGGATGGGGACTGGGCCACCTGCTGTTACCCCAGCAAAGGGCCGGCCATGCAGCAGGGAGCAGACAGGCGCCAGGAAGGAGGCATGAGGCTCATGAGAGGAAACTCTGTGCCTCTTAGGAGAACAGGACCTGACTAGAGGTGGTACAACGAGCCCCTTTTCAGTTCACTAGCCTACTGTCTAACTCGCTTACCAACATGTGCTTGCTTGGTTACAACACAGCCATCTTGTCAGGTTTTAAACAACCATAACAGCTGTAACACTGATTCGCTTTTCTTCCGCTGAATATACTCTATGGGCCAAAGAACAGAGTTCTCTGTTACTATAGTAACTTTCATGACATGGGTTACCAACAGAGAAGGTAAAACTCCTTCAGATTTTCACATTCTAAAAAAGCGCTGGCCTCCTAAAAGAGCAGGCACGTGCCCCAGAGATCACGAATTCTTTTCAACTATTTGAGCTCACGGTCTCCTCTTTTTTAGACGCGGCAGGGAAGAGCGGACAGAACAAGACAAAAGACCAACATTTTTGGCAAATTCATTCATCTTTAATTGGGTACACACATTACATATATAAACAGACTAATCCCAGAACTGAATTCCTTGGAACTGCTATCAAATTTTTTACCAAAAGAAAGATCCAAGAAAATTAAGTAGTGAGTTGCAAGGAATTTTAGTTACAGCACCCACTAAGTGATGGCCCCGTGATTCTTAGCACTTCTTTGGATCCAGTGTTTAACTTAACTGGGGACAAGGACAGAGAACTGACTGAATTATCCTTAAGCCTGTTTTAATTGGGAATTCTAATAAAACAAAACTCAATTTCTTAAAACAGTAAAACCCTTGCCTCCCTGTGGACAACAGCCACCCTCACCTGTAGCAGCTCTTCCCACTGTAGAACCCTGCCTGTACGAACAAAACAAACGTGAACTGAAGACGAACTTGAGGGGGCCCGATTGTGAAAAGCCCCGAGGAATAGGGCTCCTCACCAATATAACAGAAAACACGGCCGGCATTTATTTTTTGACTGCCTGCTATGTGTCAGGAAGATTTAAGTACTTTATATATATTATCCATTTAATCCTCCTGACAGCCTTTTGAGGTGAAGCTCACTGATGAGATTTCCATTTTACAGATAAGGAAACTGAGGCCCAGGGAGCTAACTTATCCAGAGTCACACGGTAAGCGGTAGAGCCAGGACTCTCACTGTCTGAACAAAGAAGACTCTATAGTCACACACACAGATGTCCTCTTTGCATTTGTGAGCTGGAGACGAAACCAGAAAAATGTTCAAATGAACTACTCTATATAGTGAAGCTCGCTTTCTGAAGTCCCTCACTTTATCTTACTCGTTCATCTTTAAAGTATGTTTTTTTTTAAAAAAGAAAAGGAAAAAAGAACACTAACCCAAACTATCCCCTAAATAAGAAAACCACATATTTAGACATAATCCAGTGGCATCGCAGACATGTTCTAAAAACAGAATGTTTTAATAAAACTGACTGCACTGTTCGCCCTGCAACACTTAACATTTAAATGGGTCACATTCTTTAAACCAGTCAATGGTGATGCTAAGTCTCCTAACCCAGAGCAAGGGCAAAACCTCCCTAGTGTCTCCCACACCTCGGTGCTCAGAGGTAGAAGGTTTCCCACCAGCTCTGCCTGATGCTCTGGATCCCAGAAACATCCAAGTAGATGCCTGGGATTGGCATAGACTCACAGCCCGCGACACAGAGAAGAACAAAACGTGGGCAGCTGAAACTCCAGCTCACACACTGTGGGGGAAAAAAAATCTCCCTTTCTATGTTTCAGTTTTCTCCCTCATAAAGTATGGCTGGAGAAAATCACCACTGCCTACAAAGACAAGTCGTAAAAATGGAGCTGAGCACTACTTGGAGAGTGTGCTTTCTTGCTTTTTAATTATTTTTTTTTTGGTAAAGTTTATTTATTTTGGGAGAGAGAGAGAGAGAGAGAGAAAACAAGTAAGCATGAGTGGGGGAGGGGCAGAGAGAGAGGGAGACAGAGAATCTCAAGCAGGCTCTTTCCTGTCTGTGCAGAGCCCGACGTGGGGCTCGAACTCACAAACCGTGAGATCATGACCTGAGCTGAAATGAAGAGTCGGATGCTTAACCGACTCAGGCACCCAGGTGCCCCTACCTTTTTGCTTTTTTAAAAAAGATGATGACGGTCCCTGGGTGCCTCAGTCAGTTAAGCGTCTGACTCTTCATTTCAGCTCAGGTCACGATCTCGCGGTTTGTGAGTTCGAGCCCCATGTCGGACTCTGCACAGACAGGAAAGAGCCTGCTTGAGATTCTCTGTCTCCCTCTCTCTCTGTCCCTCTCTCCCTTTCTCTTTCAAAAATAAATAAACTTTGAAAAAAGAAAAAAAGAAGATCAATAGGAATGTAAATTGCTTCAGCCACTATGGAAAACATATAGAAATTCCTTAAAAAATGAAACCTAGAACTCCCTATGATCCAGCAATTCCACTTTTGAGTATATACCCGAAAGAAATGAAACCAGTTTCTAGAAGAGAACCCCCATATTCACAGCAGCATTATTTATAACAGCCAAGACACAGAACAACCTGAGTCCATCAACAGATGAATAAAGAAATGTGGTACACATCTACACAATGGAATATTATGCGGCCATGTGTCACTTGTGGATGGACTCTGACGGCATGATGCTAAGTGAGGAGTCAGACGGAGGAAGACAAACAAGCTGTATGATCTCACTTATATGTGGAATTGAAAAAACAAACACTCATAGAAACAAAGAACAGATTGGTGGTTCCTAGAGGCAGGGGTGGAGGGTAGGGGAAATGGGTGAAAGTGGTCAAAAGGTCCAAACTTCTAGTTATGAGGATGTAATGTGTAACGCAGATGACTACAGTTAACAGTACTGTATTACGTATTCGAAAGCTGTTAAGAGAGTAGGTCTTAAAAATTCTCATCGCAAGAAAACAATGTGTTAATTATGTGAGGTGATGGATGTTAACTCACTTAGGCGATCATTTTGCGCGCGCGCGCTCGCGCTCTCTCTCTCTATAAATCATTATGTTGTACACTTTAATGCAAAGTTGTATGTCAATTATCTCAGTGAAAGTAGAAGAAAAGAAAGAGACCCTCTAGTAGCAGGAAAAAAAAAAAAAGCACTCAGGAAGACTAGGGCTGTTTCACTACAGTGCTGCCATCACATTAATCCTGAGACGTGCTTTTGTTTACACTGACTCAGCAACCCCATCCATCCATCCATCCATCCATCCATCCATCCATCCATCCATCCAGATCTTACCGATCCCTGCCAAGTCCCACCCTTTCTGGACATTCATTCACGTTCATTATTCAAGGACTGTCCACAAAACCTCATCCAAGTCACTTAACCTCTCTGCCTTAGTCTCCACAGCTGAGAAATGGGGAAAATACTAAGAACTGCCCGAAAGGGTTATTGTAAGGAGGAGCTGGAGAGAGAATTCTGGGAGACATGGCAAGTGCTCTGCTAATGTATGGTATATGGTATGCACTCAAGTCCTTGAAATTCTTACAAATATCCAAGCTATTCCTAGTCTACAGATGAGCAAACATATCCAAGACTTGCTCAGGGTCACATAACTGGTAAATGGCTGACCTGGGACTAAAATCTAGTATCTGACCGCAAAATGACCAACCGTCCCAGCAGTTCATAGCTTGTTGGGCACTGTGTGTCTGAATCCTGTGGCTTTTACTGTCTGGATCACATAATTTGGCCCCTGTTCATGTTTGCTTGAGCCGTTTGGCAGGTTACCCAATCCTGACTCCCCATCTAGTCAGTAAGCTTCTTGAAGGCAAGGTTTGCCTCATATTTAAAAAGTTTTGCAATTTTGGTAGGGGTGGTGGAGGGGGCGGGGAGGGAGGAGAGGTTATAGGCGATGGGCTTGGGTAGATAATAAATATTTGTTAATCAAAATAACTACACAGAGACACCTAGAACACGAGCTAATGGGGTTAATAAGGTAGAGAATGTTTGTGCAGAGAAAACATTTTGCTGCACGTGCCAGGAATCCTGTCGGGTTTATGGGATAATGCATTTAGAGTTCGTTGAACGACTTAAAGGCTGGGAAGAGCCCGCATTGAGTGCCCGACGGCGAAGGGAACGGTACCTGGATGTCCCGTGAGCGCTCATAGGCCTGGTAGGCCACCTTCTCCTCGATGCTGGCCAGCTCCTGCTTCAGGTTGGCTGTCTCGTGCTGATGCAGATCCGTCAGGTCGTGCAGCTGGTCTTCCAGTCGCTCGTACCTTTGCAAAGACAGGAGCTGATTCTGAGTGTGACACTTCAAAGGTCTCCTGGTTTTCATTCCCCAGAAGACTATGCTTCCAAAAGAATACGTCCAGCTACAGGGAACATGCTTTTGGCTAACCGTGAATTCCAGCTAAAAGCACTGGTCTCTGCCACATTACCTTCTGCGTCCTCACTCCTGAGGTTTCACACACACCGAAGTTGGCTTCCCCACCTCATCAGACAAGCTGAGAAATGGGGAAAATAGTAAGAATTGCCCAAAAGGGCTGCTGTAAGGAGGCGTTGCGGTGACGACACAACAGGCCTGATGCACTCACCAGTGCCGGTCAATGGACAGGGAGGGCTGTCTGGGGTCCGGCTCAAGACAAGGACCTGCTGGTGTCCCCCCTCCCCCCCTTCTGCCTGCACAGCACCTTCTGGTTCGCAGGCATGGCTTGAGAGCCCGTAAGGAAAGAACCAACTTCTACACTAGAGTTAACTCCATTTCCCAAGGCATACTCTGATTCTGAAAACATGCTTCAATTCTTGGAACTTAGTGCTGATAAAAACATTAAACTCATTAGAAATTATAGGGAGCCTGGGTGGCTCAGTCAGTTAAGCGGCCAACTTGTCATGATCTCAGGTCATGATCTCATGGTTTGTGAGTTCAAGCCTGGCGTTGGGCTCTGTGCTCCCTGCATGGAGCCTACTTCGGATCTTCTGTCTCCCTTTTTCTGGCCCCTGCCCCACTCAGGCACTCCCTCTCCCTCTCTCTCTCTCTCTCTCTCTCAAAAATAAATAAACTTAAAAAAAAACATTTTTAAAGAAAGAAATTATAAATGACTTACAAGTGGCATTTCCAAAAGTCCAAATCTTGAGTAACAGAAGAACAAAGATTGTCATTCCCACCTCCCATTTCCCTCAAAGAAGAGGGATTTGTCTTATATTTGAAAACTTAGCATGTTTATTTGAAAACAGGAAGCACTATTTGGGTAATGCATTAGCCTGAAATGACTTCTATCAATGTCAGTGTTAGATGCTTATATAGGTCACCTGACAGAATCATATGAGAGAGAGACAAGAGGGAGGGAGACAGATTATACGTCAACTATACCTCAAGAAAAAAAGTGAGATCAAAAAGTAATTTCATGCAGGGGTTCCTGGGTGGCTCAGTCGGTTAAATGTCCGACTTTGGCTGAGGTCATGATCTCACAGTTCGTGAGATTGAGCCCCATTTCGGGCTCTGTGCTGACAGCTCAGAGCCTGGAGCCTGCTTCAGATTCTGTGTCTCCCTCTCTCTCTGCCCCTCCCCCACACGCTCGCTCATGCTCTCTCTCTCTCTCAAAAATAAATACTCTTAAAAGAAAGTAATTTAATGAAAATTTAATAATTATTCTCAGATAGGACTTCATAGGTACCCAATGTTGGCGTAAAAGCCTTTTAAAGATCTCTTACAGCAAACAATACAGTCAGAGGCTAACCCTTGGACAATCACAAACATAACTACACGACAAATGAGGAAACTACCCTAAATTTATATAAGTGGGTATTTGTGAGTTGGAATAAAATTTGGATCTAAAGAGTAGTATATCCCGAACTATTCAGATGGAATTGAAGTCAGTATTTTCTGGAAAACCTGTGACTCAAAAATAGTTATGTGAGAAAGACACTAGAGTCAAAGATGTATGCTGAAAGTTTTAAAAAATGGTTTCATAGAATATAAGAGCTGAAAAAAGCCACATTTACAAATTAATACATTTAAAACCATTTTGAGATATAAAGTATGTAAGTTAAATTTAAAGTTTAACCTTACAGTATGTAATGGGCTTTTAATATTTTTTTAATTTTTAAAATTTTTATTTATTTTTGAGAGAAAGAGAGACAAGACAGCATGTGAGCTGGGCAGGGGCAGAGAAAGAGAGACACAGAATCCGAAGCAGGCTCTGGGCTCTGAACTGTCAGCACAGAGCCTGATGCAGGGCTTAAACTCACGAACCACCAGATCAGGACCTGAGCCAAACTTGGACGCTTAACTGACTGAGCCACCCAGGTGTTCCATGGGCATTTAACTTTTTCTCTACATTTTTATAAGTTAACATGTTCGTTTTGACTAAAAACAAAAACAAAACAAACAACCACAATTTTGGGGGCGCCTGGCTGGCTCAGTTGATAGCAAGCATGTGATTCTTGATCTCAGGGTTGTGGGTTCAAGCCCCACACTAGTACAGAGATTACTTAAAATCTTAAAAAAGCAAAACAAAACAAAAACTTTGGGGAATCTTTTTACTGAGAAATAGTAGAAAATCACTTCTTATTAATATTTTTATTAATTAGTTATAGGCACATAAAATCTAGCCTATAAATACCTTTTAGAAGTAGCTAATATAGGGGTGCCTGGGCGGCGCAGTCAGTTATGCATTGGACTCTTGATCTCGGCTCAGGCGATGATCTCATAGTTCGTGGGTTTGAGCCCTGCATGGAGCTCTGCACTGACAGCGTGGAGCCTGCTTGGGATTCTGTCTCTCCTTCTCTCTGTCCCTCCCCCACTTGTGCATGTGCTCTCCCTCTCAAAATAAATAAACTTTAAAAAGATGAGCTAATATAAAAAAATAAAATTAGCTAATATAACCCACAAGATTTGAATTTATACTTTACTCTTAAGATTTCTTTTGAAAACTCTTTATTTATGGTGAAAAGTTTAGTAAGCAAAATATCGTACATAAAAAAAATGTACACTATATAAAAACTTGAAGATTAATGTGCCAAAGAAAATCTACCTTGTTGAACAATGCAGTGATTTCTTTTTAAAATGGTTATTTATTATTTTTGAGAGAGACAGAAACAGAGACCATACGCGTGCAGGGGAGGGGCAGAGAGAGAGGTAGACAGAGGATCCGAAGTGGGTTCTGTGCTGACCTGATGTGGGCTCAAACTCACAAACCGCGAAATTATGACCTGAGCCGAAGTAGGACGCTTAGCTAACTGAGTCACCCAGGTTCCCCAACCATACAATGGGTCATTTACTTGACAGTTATCATGGAGGAAAATAAAATACAGACCTATGAATTAGTGTAACAAAACTTTATGACAGAAGTCTACTGGAGCTTAAGAAGGAACTCCCATGTGCACATAAGCTACAGACTATATAGCGACATTTTAACAGACTCACACAACTCTCTCTGAAGTATCAACCTGTACGTCACAAACTATAAAGTTTAGAATCACGAAGTATGGAAAACACTACTGATTTTAAATGTTTTTTTGATCCACATCCATATTCATGGAAAACACAACCATGAGCGTGTCACTTCCAAGCAATCTCTCTGCACTTAGTAGGTCATGCTTCTAGAAGAATTCCAAGAGAACAGTCTGACATACCTGTATCTCTCCTCTTGCAGCGTCTGAGAAATAAAACCGTATTCTCTCTTAAACTGCACCTTCAGCGCCTCGATGTCCTCGGCCAGCTGTGCCTGGGTGTCCTTGATCTCCCTCAGCTCCTCCAGGATCATGGTGAGCTTGCCCTGGCTGTCCAGCGTGCCGGCTCCGCTGGCCCCGAAGGACTGGTTTCCGTTACTGTCGGCGGAGCCCGACGTGCCACTCGAACACTCGTCATCGCTGCCGTACTTGGGTTTGTTCACAATGGTGGCGCTGCCCCCATAGGCCCGCGGACTCCCTTCAGGCCTAAATTCCTCCAGGGAATTTTTTAAGTGAGCGATGTTATCGGCGCTGCCAAACTTATTCCGGATCAGGTTGGCAAACTCCCTGGACTTATTGAAGACGAACACGGGCGGGGTGAGGGACACGCCCGGCATGCCCGATTTACCGCACTCCGTGCCGTGGGGAGCAGTTCGAGACTTCGCGTGGGCATCTTTCAGGGAGTGCGGCACGTCCTTCAGGTTGTCTTTGGCAATGTCCTTTGCGCTTCTGGAGGCTCCATTCTGCTCGATCTCCCTGAGCTTTCTATGATACTGTTCTAACTTCTTCTGAAGCTGGGCAATGGAGTGAGCGGACTTCTGATTCTTCTTCTCAAAGACTTGCTTGATGCGGCCCGCCTGCTGCTTGTCTGCGCTGTTGACTAGTTTCAGATACTCTGCAACATTGCCGTCGCGGGACGTCTGCTCGATTTTGATCTGCTCTGTCACCTTCAGAATTTTTTGCTTCAGGCTGTCCGCACTGAGTTTGACCTTGTGGAAGTCCAGGATGCCATCCGGTACGTCAAAGTTGAGGTTGGTGTCGGACCCCCCTCGGCGAATGTTCAGGGGCAGGCTTAGGGTGTTCATGTCATGTCGCTCTACCTGAAAGAGACAGGGAGGAAGCACTTGAAGACTTGAAGGCAAAGGCACAGTTACTGTGATAGAATCTGGGCACACACTACAGACATACTTCAGGTCCCAGATCTTTAAACTGCAAGTATTCCTAAGATAAAAACTCCCTACTATTCTCCCAGTTGAACAGAGGACAGCCCAACTCCTTCCTGCATCCATGTGTACTATGAGATTCAGGTTTCCCAGGGCTTCCAATGTTTTGTCTCATTACATGTAATTGTCAGTTGCCAGGGTGGAAAATGCATAATGGGACAAGGTTACCCTCAGTCCTAGTTTCCCCAAATGCCCAGGTAACTAGGGTGCCTGCCATGCTCCACGCACGGTGAATTTCGACACTGTGGGAAATGCATCCAGTTCAGACCTCAATCGCTTAAGAAGCAGAATGAGGGAAAAGTTCCAGCAGGTACATTCATCAACACAAGAAATTATTTTCTTACTGGAATCATTAAGCAGATGTGATGGGATAATATGATGCAAGATTAATTTTACTGAGTAACGGGACAGTGTGTACAGGTGGAAATAACCCAACCACAACAGAAGTGATTAAAAAAAAAAAAGAACAGCAAGTGATAATACCCTGTGAAATGGCTTTCTCACTCAAGGGCCACCTGGGGAAGAAGTGCAAAGTATCACTGAGCACCATAGGTTTGTGCCGGGAAAGGGAAAGGGAAAGGGAAAGGGAAAGGGAAAGGGAAAGGGAA